GCATTGAACGAGTATGGGCGCCTATTCCACGATCACCTTCGAGGAGGTGCACGATTTGAGTGATGTTTCGCGCGCGCAAACAGGGCTCAGATATCCTGAGAAGTATTTTAACCTCACTTGGAGAGACTGTTTGTCATTTTTGGAGCTTCGCGGCGGCGCGCCGCCGCGAATCTGTGCACATATAGCAAGGATAGCCTAGGACCAGGCTCTCCTGGGGCTCTATATCCCGAATAATTCACGCCGAGAGCTTCCAAGTGGGTTGAAATGAGCCTCTACACATTTATAACGTCTGTGGTAGTGTAATACAATTTTTCGCGAGTTCTTCGGGCTCCTGTGCACCTGTCGAGCGCGTCCACAAAGTCGCGAAGGGGGTCCCGATGAGATCACGTGCGACCCAAATGGTTTCGTAACCTAATTCTAGGGTTGGCTTTGGTCTCTAGGGGCGGGCGCTTCAGACCAATTCAGAGACCAATTTGGTCGGGTCCTTGGAATCGCGCTGTATCCCACAGCGGCAAATTAGTCATACCAAGGGCTCGGACGGTGCGAGACGGGCCGCGCAGCGGCCCATATATGGTGCCCAGGGCGTGACGGTCGTGCGCGCCGAAGGCGCGTTCAGTAGGTGTAAGCGCGCGCACTCAGTCCCTCCTGTTCGCGTCCCCCGCGCGAGTACTGCGTCCGCTGTACCAGTATCTCATGTACATACATGCAAATTCTAAGATAAAATGGTGTAAAATTGCGGGAGCTTCGCGGCGGCTCGCGCCGCCGCATTGAACGAGTATGGGCGCCTATTCCACGATCACCTTCGAGGAGGTGCACGATTTGAGTGATGTTTCGCGCGCGCAAACAGGGCTCAGATATCCTGAGAAGTATTTTAACCTCACTTGGAGAGACTGTTTGTCATTTTTGGAGCTTCGCGGCGGCGCGCCGCCGCGAATCTGTGCACATATAGCAAGGATAGCCTAGGACCAGGCTCTCCTGGGGCTCTATATCCCGAATAATTCACGCCGAGAGCTTCCAAGTGGGTTGAAATGAGCCTCTACACATTTATAACGTCTGTGGTAGTGTAATACAATTTTTCGCGAGTTCTTCGGGCTCCTGTGCACCTGTCGAGCGCGTCCACAAAGTCGCGAAGGGGGTCCCGATGAGATCACGTGCGACCCAAATGGTTTCGTAACCTAATTCTAGGGTTGGCTTTGGTCTCTAGGGGCGGGCGCTTCAGACCAATTCAGAGACCAATTTGGTCGGGTCCTTGGAATCGCGCTGTATCCCACAGC